TCTCAAGAATCAGGGCTCTTGTGTGTGAAGGTACCTCTGAATCTTTTGCTCTGTGTGACTAACTCTCATTCAAAAAACAAATAAAAAGGCTTTTTGCTCTCCCACATGTTGGACAACTCTGTTCACAGTTTTCCCCTCCTGGTCAAGGAAACCCACTTTCTCTCTGAATAAGCATCTTGGCTCAGGGTCAGTTGTATGATCTGCCCATGAGTCAAACAACTCTAACCCTGCTCTGGCAAGAAATCATTCCTACTACAAAATTACAGCACAGCTTCTCAGAGGTGAAGGGTGTTGCTACCTGCCATGCCCTTGGACAGAGATGGCTTTAGGATTAAACATCCAGCTAAAGAATAATTTAAATTTGGCATCATGCCCATTGCTACTGATCAGGGCTGGCTGGTTCTGCACTAGGACCAGCTTCTCTTCTCAGAACCTGGGGCTCTCTTACCCTTCTTTTCTTCCTCTTCTTCTTCAAAGAATTCAGGCAAAGAAAATGCTTCTTTGAGTTGTTCCATTTCTTCCTTCAGTGTGTCCAGCTTCTCTCCAGAGAGGGCATTCAGAACTGCTTTCACCTGGTTAGGGGCAGCACAGCCAAAGAGAGAATCAATAAATCAATCCAACAGGATGGAAAATGCAGGCCAAGGTAGCAAACCAGCAGGTGTGAGGAGAGTAACTTGTGAGAAGTTGTAGGAACAGAACTGCAATAACAGAGACTGGCTGGGGTAAAGGGAATGGCTTTAGGAGGTGAGGACAGGACAAACTGCTCCCAAGGTAAACACCAGATCCTAATGCAAGGATCAAAGTGAAGTTCTGTAATCATTTTACAGCAAGTTCTGAGCTCTTGATTTTACATGTATATACATATATTTCAAATCTTTTTTCCCCTGCTCAGCTGAACTCAAAAATAGAAAGCAAAATGCTCAAGGCCATTACCTTTGATTCACTCTCTCTGGAAAGCATCTCTAAGGCCTCCAGATGCGAAAGACCCTGAAACTCATCAAACAGTAACCCATAATGGGCTTTCTTCTCAGTAGCCATGGTAACCTCGGTAGCTGTCTGCTGCTCTTCTTTCTCCTTTGCTTCTCGTAAGACCTGAAAAAGAAAAGCAGAGGCCTCGTGACAGTGCCAGGAGATAGAGAATAAAGGAGGAGAAGGTTTTTGGCTCAATAGCAAAAAATGGTTGCTTAATGACAGGACCACAAAAGAAGGGAGAAGAGATGAGAGAAACCAATGAGGTGCTGTTAGGGAAGTGCTGTACCTGAGATAATGTAGAGGTTCTGTTTATTAGGCCCTTTGTTTTTTTGAATCCAGGGTCTCCCTCAGCTATTACATCCATTGTCTTTTTGCCGATGAATTCCAAGGCATCCAGACCTCCACTAATAACACTTTTACCCTAGGAATCAGATTTGGATAAAGACAGCACATAAAACTCAGAGAAGATTACACAATAGAAGAAATTGAATTGGGAGGGTTTTATCAGCAATCTTACTCTGGGCACTCACATAAAAGCCAAATTGGTCCTTGTCACCTTAAATTCAACCCTAATCATCACAAGGAGAGCAGCAGGACATGGAAAGAGCTACAACACATTATCACCCAACAGCTTATTACAGCACCCAGACAGCTGCAGCAATCTGATGGGAGATACATTTTTTTAGTTTGTGAACAAGCTGGTTCTCAGCACATTGCAGTATTCAGCTCTCATCCTTCCAATGAGAAAGCAGCAGACCTGTGGATTTTGACTGCTAACTTTTGTTCAAGCCTTAAAAGCAAAAAATAGAAGCCAGCTTTCCATCTGCAGCTCTTTCAGATTCCCAGGAAAATTGACAAGACAGCAGATCACAAAAGCAGTTTCTAAGGGTAATGGCTTCCTTTGAAGTGCATTTCTCCTGGTCACAGGAGCAAGCTGATTTCCAAGCGAACTGAGCTAGTTTCACATAGGTTTTTGAAGAGGAGAATGGATTTCATCTCTAGTTCTGTGGAAATCAGTGGAAATACTCCAGGAATGAGTCTGACCCTGCAGTTAGCTGACTACTCCAAAGGAAAGGCAGAGCACAGAGGTGACACGCACAGAAATGCACACTCTGCACAATCCACCATTAGGATTTTTTTGTTAGGTACCAACATTCAATACAGGACTATCAAAATTCATAACATCTTTCACATTAGGTGCCAGTTAGAAGTAAGGCCCAACATAATGCTTTTTTGAAGGCTGGAAGAGTTTATCACCATGCATCCCACAAATGTCAAAATCAAGTTTCTTCTTACAATGTTTCAGATTAAAGGCCAAAACCCCAAAGCTCCCTTAAACCCATTTTCTCCTGTATTCCCAACTCACTCACTGTGCTTTGGACAGCAGTAGAGATGGTTGATAAAACTTCAAGAGCCCCAGCAATAGGGAAGGAGCTGCTATCATCAGCTGCATCAGCGTTGCTGGCAGCAGGATTCTCACTTCCTGCATTAGAAGGCAGAAAATTAACTTCCTGACTTCCAAAAGAAAAAAGATCCTGTCAGACACAGAGTGGAGAAAATCAACAGACACCAAATATTAGCTAGGAGCAAGCCTACAATTCAGATTATTTTCCCTTCTACTTTTCAGAGCTAACAGAACGAAGCAAGAGAGTATTAGTTAAATCATTTTGTCATCAGTCTCAAGGTGCAAGGTGCAGAGTAAGGTGATGTTATTTTGGGGCTCATTATGTTGTGAAAAACATTCCAGGGTTGTTCTTATGCAGTACAAAAACTGACCTCTTGCACCATCTTTAGACTCTGATGAGATTTCACTAGGACTGGGGATCCCAAGGGTTGTTTCTGCTTTTTCTATGACATTTGAAATACCTTGACCTAGAGAAGAACAGAAACAGGATTAGAGCTGCATATTCTTTTTTATTATTCAAGATTCTTTCTGTTCAAAACAATTTAACTAGCACTAAAACGTCCTTCTACCCAGCTCACCTACTAATGTAATGAACCAAGGTTTCATCTTAGCCTTTAAATAAAGTTGTAAATACTAGCAGAATACTAGTTTATAATACCAGGTGAAAATTACACAAACGCCTTAAAAACCTGAAAGTAATTCTGCCTGTGAATTTCTCCTTAATCTCACTGTACCTTTTGGTTCAAGCTTTTCCCATTACTTGAACAATTCTCTTGACATTTTTCCAATAACGGCTGCTATAACTGAAATCCTCTTCTCTAGAAACAAGTTCTAAAGCACCAGCTTGAGACACAAAGCTTGATTAAAATATTTATCAAATACCAGAAAGAGCCTTACCTACAGTAGCTACGGTAGCAGACGCAGTTGACAGAAGAGATTTCCCCCAGCTTCCCCAGTAGCCCCACCCTGTCTGAACTGCAGGAGGATCTGAGACCTTTAATGAAGAAAAACACAAGACTGATGCAGGCATTATAGTGAGGAAAGGAACACAAGCAGTCAGTGACATGTGACTTTTGTGCAGCTTTTTCATTTCAGAAAACAGCAATGTGAATTTTCAGAAAGGAGTGGGGCTCTTGTGCTCAGAGTTCTCCTGTGCTCAAAGCCATGAAATGTGAATCTTTCCGAGCAAGCACAGGAGCTTACCTTGACGGTTTCCCCTGCAGGCTTTTCTGTGGCAGCAGGCTGGCTTGGGGGCTTGGGTTCAGGTCTTTTCCGAGTCACAGGCACAGTCTCTTGTTCTCTTCCTTCACTGCTCTCAGAGCAGCCAAGTTCCTCTGTCTTCTGTTCATTTTCAGCTTTGTAAGAGGTTTCATCTTTCAGATTTTCCCCACTGCCTTCCTCAGACATGACTACAAACATCCATAGAAAGCAAAGCACAGAAAATAATCACTCCCTCGCACTTTGACATGAGGTCAAGAGCATCATGCTGGTGTTTTAAATAATTAAACACAACAGTGTTGCCACATGTACCCACATGTGTGTACACCAAATTACGTCTGACTCAAAAATAGCATATTTGGAAGTTTAAAGTCCCACAGGGACACGTGGCTTTATCTAACTGACACACCCTCTCCACAGGAAAATAAACCAGTTTGCTAACTCTGAAAAACAAACGGAGGTACAAAAGGGCCTCAGATAATTAAATCCATTACCAAAATAAAAGTGAAAACAAATCGCTTGGCATGGCTGCTTTGAGGAGCGCAGGAGACAAATGGGGACAGCAGTCGGAGAGCTGAGCAGGCAGGGAGGCAGCGACTGGCTCACTCCTGTACCTGGGGATGAGGGCACGGCCACCCCCAGGAGCTGCGGCCAGCTCCGGCTGCCACAGCAGCGCCCAGCCCGCGGGCCGGGGCCGGGGAGCCGGCAGCGGGGCTGTCACGCTGCTCTCGGGCCCCACGTGTCCCCGCCCGGGCTCCTCTGGCAGCAGCTGCGGCTCAAGTGACTGGCGGGCCAGGCAGGGACAAGCCGAGAACGCCAGGGTCCCCGGGATCAAGCTGGGCTGACGCTGCTGTGTCCCCGGCCAGGCGCTCACTGATGCAAGCTGGGGACAGCCACCCCATCTGCCGGATCCTCCACAGCGACTACCGCGACCCCCGGGTCACCCCGGCACCCTCCCCATCCCGCAGCCCTGGAGGCCTCGCTGTGCCTCGCTTACCCGGGAGACCCCCGAAGTCCCATGACCCCCACACGGGGCTGTCCCATATGGCACCCCAAGTTCCCTAAACCTCCCCGTGGGGCTCCTGCCGCCAGGAAGCCGCCAGGTGCCCACACCGCCCCGCCATGGTCCCGCCTGCCCCACAGCGGCCCCCAACGCCCGCCTCCCCGCGGGGCTCGCTGTGCCCCGCACGCTGTGCCGTCCCTCACCGTCGGCGGTCGGCGCGGCCCCCGCGGCTCCGGGCGGACCGAGAGCAGCGAGGCCGGCGCAGAGCGGCCCCGGCGCTGCCCCGGAAGCGGCCTCAGCTCGGGGAAGCGCGTCCGGGCGGCGGGGCCGGCGGCGGATCTGCGGGACGGGCCAGGCCGGGCCGGGCAGCCTCGTCCCGGTGAGAGCGGCGGTACAGCCAGGTTCACCTGGCGAGGTCGGGGTCGGAGGGCAGCGGCGGAGGGGGAGGCCTCGGGGCCATGTCCCGCGTGGCTGTTTTGGCCTGGAAATAGGGGCAGTAGGGGCAGGTTTGCAGGGCAGCGAAAGCGGTGGAAGGCCTCGAGGGGAAGCCACAGGAGGAGTGGTTGAGGTCACTTCGTCTGGTCAGGCCGGAGCACTGGAGACTGAGAGCAGAGCTCATCGGAGTCTGCAGCAGCTCCCGAGGAGCCGGGGAGGGACCGCTCGGATCTCTGCTCTGTGTTACAGCGACAGGACCCTGGGAACGGCTGGAGCTGTGTAAGGGGAGGTTTAGGTTGGAGATCAGGGAAGGGTTCTTCCCCCAGAGGGTGCTGGGCACTGCCCAGGCTCCCCAAGGAGTGGGCAGGGCCCGAGGATCGCGGAGCTCCGGGGCCGTTCGGACAGCGCTGCCCGGCACGGAGTGGGACTGTTGGGGTGTCCTGAGCAGGGCCACAGTTGGACTGGATGAGCCGTGTGGTTTTCTTCCAGCTCAGAATATTCTGTTTGTGTTTCTGGCATGACATCATGTCCCAGTGACACCAGCCCGCGTGATGTCACCTGCCGTGGCCCGTGCCCTCGGCTGCAGTGTGGTCATGTTACGGGTCCTGTGTCCCACTGCCACCACCAGCTGGGACCAGGGCTTCTCCTCGAGTGAACTGGTAGCATACAGGGGCTGTGAGGACAGGGTAGCATTAAGCGAAACTTTGTGCCTGGTCGTTTTTAGCTGACAGGACAAAAAAACCTGTTTTGGTGCACAGCCGATGCCGTGTCGTGGCGAGTTAGCCTGTGACAGGTGTCACACACCCAAGGGAGAAGCACAGCAAAACACCATGTCCTGTCAGGCAGCCAAGGGATGTGCACAGGAAAACAACAAAATCCCATCAGGCAGCAGTGAGGCTGGTCCTGGGGTGCTGTGGATTTACCCCTTGGGCTGTGGGACTCCCCTGCAGAGCTTTGGCTGGTGGCAGCAGAAGGTGAGCCCTCCCTGCAGCCTCTCCCATGCTGGAGCACCCCGAATGGCTCTTGTCAAGACCATGCTGGCTGTGTTCATAAACTTCCCAAGAGTTCCTGTCTGCAGGGCTCTGCCAAATGTTTGACAGAGGGTCAGAGGGGGCTTGCAAATGGTATTTCTGCAAGACGTCTGCAGCCTGTGCTCTGTCAGGTGTGTCTCGGTTTATTGCCTCACGTTACTCCAGGTATGAAGTGATGTTATAAGCAGTGAATGTAAAACCATATAACTTGCAACCTCTTGGGCCCCAATTTTGCAGTGCCATATAAATGTGTGTAATTTTAAGTACTATCAGTGCTTCCACTGACCTCAGTGGGACTACTTAGAGTGCTCTAAGTTAGACACAAATCCACTTCTTCAGGGTAGGAGCCAAGGATGACTCATACAAGCACATGCATCACAGATTTTTATCTTTCCACTGCTATTTGTTGTTACAACTTATGGTTTAATAAAGGTTAAATGTGTTGAGTTCAGCGTCAGGTTCAGTTGTAAAATAGCCAGTTTCTATTCTGGCGCATTTCATCTTGATTGAGCTTAACACTTTGTTGAAGAATTGTGATGTTGGCACTGATCACACTTTATCCTTTTTGGGTTCTTTAGCAGCTGTTTTGCATAAGTGCAGTGGACGAAGAATATGGATTTTGCAAATCATTTTATTGTTCCCAGTACTCGGCAGTGAGAGATCATTGTCTGCTTAGCAATAATGGCTTTTCCAAAAGACAAACAATTTCTAATAAATCAGACCTCGAAGAATTTAATAGTAAAATTAAATGACCCATCACCAATGGTTTATGCATTATGCAGGCTCAGTGCAAGTATAGTGGAGAGCATATGCAATTACTGAAGATAATTATTCTTATGAGGGAAAATGTTGCTGAGTACTTCTTGTGTTAAATAAATGAGTGAGATTCCTAATGTCATTTAGGAACAGACGTCAGAGACGCTTGGAAACCTTAACAATTCAAATTTAATAATTTAAAATTACAATAGCACAGGCAAAGTACAAGAGGCACTGGGATTATTCTCTAATAAATCTAAAGTATCAGTTGGGATGTTACTGTTTTAGAAGACTGGAAGTTATAATGTGCCTGTGATTCAGGGGTGAAGTTGAGGGTTTGTGTTTGCTGCAGAACTGCGGTCTGTTTTAATTGCATCAGGTACTGTGAAGTCAAGTCTGGTGCATGCAAAACTGCATTTTTATCTGAAGGCAGCTGGGTCATAGGGTGATGTCTGCTGAAGGTCTGGGACCACAGCACCTCGCTTGCCACCACAAGCTGTGACAGACCTTTAAAGCAACCCAAATGTCAGTGGTCCACAAACCACTGCCAGTCCATAGCCTGTCTGTGTGGGGTCTGCAAGGTTGCCAAAGCAAGCAGGTCAGTGTCAGCAGCCTTTTGCAGGCTCTGAAATACTCTGAAAATACCAGGGGTCTAAAAATGGAAGGTTAAATCCACTCCCTCAAATAGAAGAATAGTTGCTGATCAACAGCAGTCTTAGTATTATTTTTTTTCAGACCTGTGCTGTTGCTGTGGATGGGATGCTCTTCAGAGGCAGCAGGACTCAGTAATGCTTTCCCTAAAGTGTAGCTGGTGAAAAACAGGAATGAAAGAGGCCTTGGTAGTGGTTTTAACTGTTTAGCTGTGGGAAAGTAGCTCCTCCAGCACAATGGTATAATTGAGTTCTCTGCACTAGTCTCATCTTAAATGAAAGGACAAGAGGCATGATAGAAAACAGAGTGGGGCCAATGATTAAAAAAAAAATAGAAGAAGGCAGATGAAGGGATTGCTGTTTACAGAGAAACAAGTAGGGAGCCTGTTTTCCAGTTTCTCTTGCAGGATTCAGTGGGTGAGTTGGTTAGTCAAGCCTGAAGGAGAGCTGGACACAGCTGTCTTCTTTGCCTTCTTTGTTAAACTGGTTTTGGCAATAGCCACAACAGAAATGGAAATCGGTCAGATAACACATTTCTCATCAGATGTCAAGTCTGGAGTCTGGTTTGACCTTCGACAAATTAACTTTCACTGAAAAAAATTCCCAGTCTGGATAACATCAGCAGAATTCCCCCTTTTGAATATGCTTAGTTTGTCCGTGATGAAAGACAATTGCTAGAAATCACCTGGTTTTATGCGTGTTACATTATTTTTCAGAAGTGCTTTAGATAGTGTTAACTGCTAATCTGGTAATTCTAGAAGGATGAAAAGTGTCTGCATTATTTATTAAGTCAGTGGGTCCCTTTGTGTTGTGATATTTATGAAATTCCCTTCCACTAACATCTGTTATTTGTAGAAGAAAAGATGATAAATTCGAAGTCACACAGTCAGTGATATGAAGTGAGATATTTTTTAGGATAATATTTGAGCTTGTGGCTTCTGTACTTCGTAAACGTTTTTTTAAGGCTCTGGAGCTGTCTAGATGGAATCATAACTTCAGGGAACACATATTGGATAAGAAATTTTCTTGAATCAGACTTCCAGGAAAATTGATTACAGATTGTCTCTTATCGGTGTCATCTCATTTTGTTACAAGTTGGTTTTATTCTGGCTTGTGTGCAAAAGACAGAATATTAGTTGTATCCTAATGTCTGTAAATATCTTTTGTGCACATTAATTTGAAGAGTTTCTGTCCCTAGACAAAACAATTTTTTCACATTTCTATGAAGTTTGGGTGGAGAAGACAATGAAGAATATATGACTGCTGAGATGAAGCAGCATAAACTAAAAGATTTTCAACAGGAGCTCATTGTAAAACAAACAAGAATAACAGGGAGCAGACTTAGAAAATGCAGCAGCAACAAGAGATATTGCAAAAAAGGAAATATGTGTAAACATCAGTGTCCTGCTGTTCAGAAAGGGACTTCCTCTTCTGGCTGTAGATAACAACCAGGAGACTTTTCCCAAGTAATTAAATCATATTATATAGTATTTAGACATCTAATATCAGGTGTGCCCCTAAAATCAAGTAAGTAGATGTAAATGCTAAAAGTCAGATGTGTGTGTGTGCACTTTGGTTTTTCTCTGGGTAGTAAATGAAAGACTGGCTTTAGAAAACCAGGGCTTAAAAGCACTTCGATATTGCTGGAGAGGGAGGCAGAAATTACATCCTCTTTCTTGCTTTTCTTCCTCTATTAAGAAAGCACTTTTTCTCTGGTAACAAATGCAGAACCCACTTTTAAAGATAATTGTGCATTTCAAGTAGTCTGAACAATTTGTTCTTTTTGTAAAACCTTTTTCTCCTTAATGATTATTGTTCCAGAGATTATTTATTTGGTTGGGAAGATGAACATATGGTGGACTGAGGTTGTGCTCATGCCTTCTTACCCTCATTTTATCACTGTGTTCTGAGCAAAGCTCTGGTTTGGAACCTCTCGGCTGACAGTTTATGTTATCATATTTGAAATCTGTTTATTGCAAATTAAATTTGAATACATGGAAACCTTGAAGTCATTAATAAACTTATTGCTTTTTTTTTTCCAGTTTTACTTCCAGTTTCCACTTCAAATATTGATGGTCTTGAAAGTGCATTTGGATCCCAGACATTTTCCATCACAGAACAAATCAAGAGCTCCTCTCCTATCTCAGAGCAATACAGACAGCTTAATATCATATGACCTCATTTCTCCAAATTAAATGAAAGAAGAATTTTCACTAGCTTTCCATGAAGCTCAGCTATTGCCTGTTAATTTTGACTGTTAGTGCTGCTCTTTCAGTTGGATTCACCGTGGAAAATGTAGCTTTTAACAGGACAGTTGCTTTTAGGTCTTTCAATGCATCACTTCATGCAGTGTCTCAAGCTTTAATGAGTTCTCCAGCACACCATGATATCATAGCCAAAGAGGGGAGCAGTATTTTAATTGAATGTAAACTGAACATCAGCCAGTATGAACATATCCTTTGGTATAACTCCAGAGGACACCTGCTTGAACAGAAAGATGAAGGTGAGTTTTCCTGCTGTTTTCTGTCCACCATTATTCCCCTTTTAAACAGTATTGGAAAAGCCCTGGGACTTTATTATAATTTTCTCTTCCTATCCTCACATTTTTACAATTGGGAGATAAGGAGAGAGCAAAACAAAGTCCTTTGCCCTCTGAAATGTTGCATGGGAATACACCTGAGTATTTCTGTTCCATCCTGCTTTGGTGCCTCACAGAATGATGTTGTTCAAGAGTCATCCCAGTGTTCCATACAGAAGAAATGAGTCTTCATCTTACCCAATACTAACTGATGGGTTTATTTATTATTCCTCTGGTTGAAATGATATTTTTCCAAATGCATGAATTAACACAGTTCTCCACAACTTGTGACCTTTTGAGCTGGCAGTTTGTGCTTTAACTTTGTTACAGGATATGTTTTAAAACATACTTAGTACATTTATTTTTTGGTTTATGCACCAGTGGGATTGTGGAAAGTAACACAATATGTAATGGCCAATGGTGGAATTCATGCTATTTAACCCTTTTGAACTGAAGGGGGATATATTTTCCTAGCCATTGGCTCTTATAGTTCTATCCCTGCAGTTTTTAATTTAAAAATGTTTTAGAGATACATGTGTTTTTCTCTCTTAGTATTAATGAAGGTCATCGAACTAATTGATAGGATCTTGTTGGAGGCCATATTTCTGCCTTAAGTATTCAGTAACCTTTTTGTAGTTATAATGCCATCTGGAGATTAGTTCAAAGTAGAGTAATTAGAAGAATAAGTTATGAAAACAGTTCAAAGCAGAGTAATTAGCAGAAATGAGTTATGAAAACAGTTTTCCCCCTAAGTTATAAATGCACAGCAAATGCTGTATAAAGCTTCTTGTATTGATTTCTCTTTTACTTGGGTTTTGCTTGTCAGCACTGCATGCTCAGCAGAAAACTGTCTCAAGAAAATTCTGGGTTCTTTTGCCAACAGAGCCATTTACAGACTGATCTTTTTCATGGGTCACTTGACTTTTGACTCTGAATGTATGGAAAATTAGACTTTATAGAGGACCGTCTTTTAACACAGGGTGAGAAGCCCTGGTTAAGAATTAGGATCCCTATCAGAAAGAACCAGAAGCACACTGGAAAGTGCAGATGAGAGGAGGAAGTAAAAGTAGTGTAGCAAGCATGCAGAATAATTTACCATTAAGCAGTATGAGGGGTAAGTGGGTTATGGTTTTCTGTGTCACAAGCATGAAAAGGACATTTCAGTCCTTGGTGTACTGTTACTATGCTAGAAGTGGACTGCTCACTACCAAGCTTTGACTGCTGAAGATGTTTACCCTGGGATTTTTGTTTCTTGAGCTCTGTTTATTTCTTGCCTCTATGCAGATGACCGGTGGAGGATTGCCGATAATTCCCTCAACATCACAAAGGTCAGCTTTGCTGACCGGGGCCGGTACACGTGTGCAGGCATTAATCATAACGAGACCTTGTACTACACAGTCACCCTGAGGGTTATCTTCACCTCAGGGGACATGAGCATCTACTACATGATTGTGTGCCTCGTTGCCTTTGCCATCACCCTCATCTTGAACATCACCCGCCTGTGCATGATGAGCAGCCACCTCCGCAAAACGGAGAAGGCCATCAACGAGTTCTTCCGGACGGAAGGGGCCGAGAAGCTGCAGAAGGCTTTCGAGATAGCCAAGCGTATCCCCATCATCACATCTGCCAAAACGCTCGAGCTGGCCAAAGTCACTCAGTTTAAGACCATGGAGTTTGCTCGGTACATTGAAGAGCTCGCCAGGAGCATTCCCCTCCCGCCTCTGATCCTTAACTGCAGGGCGTTCATGGAGGAGATCTTCGAGGCCGTGCGGGTGGACGACCCCGACGAGGCGGGCAAGGAGGAGAAGCAGCCCCCCGGCTGCGGGGCGCAGGCCGCGCTGTTCCCCGGCAGCGCGCGGGTGAAGCGCAGCGAGTCCCCGGCCGGCGACTCGGACGATGGCTCCCTGAGCGAGCAGGGCCAGGAGATCGCCGTGCAGGTGTCCATCCACCCCCAGGCCCAAGGGCAGAGCATCGACACCGTGTCCCACGGCAGCTGCCACTCTGTGCCTTCTGAGGAAGGCGCCTGCTGAGCCCGGTGATGCAGAGGGGTGAAGGAAGCTCGGAGGATCCAAGGGAACTGTGAGAAAAGGCTCTGCAAATAAGCTGCCTCATCCCGTGTGCAGTTTTCCAAATTGCAAGGTGCCAGAAGTAGTTAGAAGTGTGTATTTTCTGTCTGTGTTGATTTAACAATTCCAGTCTGCTGGAAAAGGCCATTTGGAATATTGTGTGGGGGCTTTTCTTTCTAAAGCAGGCTTGCTGTATTTAAAATAGTTGCAAAACCGGAATTCTTTGTCCTTGGCTCCTTGGTAGCTTTTGATACTTCAGAGCTGTGTGAGAAGTGACCAAGCTGAGCAGTACAACTTGCAATAAGAACTTTTCCTTTGTGAGCTCCTTCTTTCTTCACAAAGTTGAGCTGAAATTCCTTTGAGTCAGTGTTGTTGTCCTGATTAATTGAGTTCTGTGCTCTTTTTGAGTTGCCTCTTGGTGCGTGTAGCCCATCAGAACCACAGTGAGCTTGAACAAATCTGTTTCGTGTCACACGCTTGTGTTGCTATCAAAATGTACTGTACTTAGAAAAAAATAGTGCCAGGATCTGCTGCTGGATTAAATGAATTGTTGTCGTTTCAAAGCAGCTTAGAGAACAACCAGGAGGTCTCAAGTTTTCTGTGCATCTGCAGGAAACTTGTGGATGTTTTAAAAGTTTGTTGCTTAAACTTGGTGCTGATTGCCAAAGCGCCTTACCCTGGTCCTGCCCCACAGAATGGAGCAGTGACAGCACTTCTGGCACTGCCTGGCTTTTCATTATGCTGATTTCACTCACTATAGAAGATCCAAAGTTTTATATTGTATTTGCCGTTGTGGTGAGAAGAGGATGACAGTAGTCACATCATGGGAAAACTCAGAAATGAATTCATCATCTACAGACAGGTGTCTGAGGCACGTCTTCCTGAACAGCATTATAATAAAGCAGTGCAAAGTAGTTGCAGTGAGTTGCTCTGCTCTGGCTGGTCCTGTCAGAAGGCAGTGGCACAGAGAGTGGGGGCTGGCTGAGCTGTTTGCCAGCCACTGCTTGCAGGAGGGAGTGACTCACTGCTAGAGCCCAGCCTCGTCTGCTGAGGTGGCAGAAGGGAGAGCTGCAGCTGCTGACATATGTGCACAAGTACTTCACCAAGGATCTCCCACCTGGCTTCCTCAGCTGTAGAGATCCAGCCTCCAGGAATCAGAGTGCAGACAAGGATCTAGTTTCTTCTTCCACTCTTTGGTGCTGTTTTTTTTTTTTTCTCCGTAACATTTGTGTCACTTAAATAGCATTTTATATCCTGTTGAGATTTAGTAGATGTAAAGCTTGTAAGCACTCCACATATTAATTTCTTACAACTACTGGAAGCATATTGCCATATAATTTTAACAGCTTGGCAACAGGAGTGCCATTTAATTTCACACAACTCTTTTTTCTTTCCTTATTATTACAGAAATGTCACTTGAACAAGTGATTCTGGAGGGCTGCTCAGGATTCCTAAGAGCATTTGACATTACATTTACATGAGTAGAGGTGGAAAACAAGCAGGCACAGTGGTAATAGCAGGGTGGGGCTGTCTGTGGTAATACATGCTCAGAAAGAAGGGGCTGAATGAATTACAGTTACCATATCAGAGACAGGGAAATGACAGCATCTATAACCATTTTAAACTACCTTTTGGGGAAATTCCTGCAGTCAGCCACCAGTTAAATCACCCTAGTTGCCTTTGGCCCGTCAGGTAAGAGTGGTGTTAGTCAGGAAGGAAATTGCTAGCCTTTATTACAGTAACATTCCCACCAGCTTGGTGCCATTTCCAAGACTGTAGCAAACTGTCTGTTTCAGGGGAATAAACCTTCTGTACATACTTCAAGTAGCTGCCTCAACAGTGACTTCCTTTTTTGCTTCCATAGTTTGATGGCACTTTATGTCCAGGTGAAAATTTTGTATAGTTTTGTGTAGCCTTGTCTGGTTTCTTCTAAGTTTTCTGAGATTATCAGTGTTAAAAGATACTCTGAGGATAAATATCTATTTCTCTTAGAAGAAGGAAGCTGCTGGCTTCGCTTCTGTGCTACAATGGGATCTGCAGGTTTGTTGCACATGTGTGAGAGGAGATTTGAGAGTTTGCAACCTGGCTGAAAGAGGTGAAGGCTACAAGAGAGAATGATCTGCTTCAAACTCCTTTGTGCCACAGGTCATCAGAATGTAGCTGAACCTGCCTTATTTCCCTATAAACAGCTCTTCTTGCTTCTCTGGAACTGTTGCATGATATGCAACATATGGATGTGTTACCCCTAAATCCACACACAGTGAGAGATGCCACTACAAAATCTAAACTATTTAATTGCTTCCTAAGAAGCTTAGGAAGCAATTAAATGTCACATCAGAAGTGGCAGCTTACAGGCAGCAGAATGACACTGGAGGTGTGTAAGATGAGTGCCAGGAGAGCTGTTTTGAGACTGATTTGATCTCTTTTTTGATTTTTATACTTTATTTACAAAGCTCCAAGTTCTTACTGAGCAGTTACCTGGTGTCTTCATGCATTCTGTTGCTGGTTGAGAGGAAAGAGTGACCATGCATAAAGGTCCTCAGAAATGCAGTTGCAGTGTCAATTGCTGGATAGAAAAGCTGAGAGTTTTCCTGAATTATTACAGTATTTTGTTCCTAACATGAATTTCATTCCTGGAAAGAAGGTTATTTTGTAAGGATTTTAGTATATCAGCTGTACCTCCTGAATGGAGGGACTGATCCTACTCCCACTGAATTCAATTAGAGAGGATTTGGAGCTCTGTGCATTTTACAGGATTTTTATGCATCTGAAAGCAAGGACGAAGGTGATGTTAAATGGTAAAAGGGATTTCCAGAGAATGAAATTTGACACCAGTTTCCAAACAACTTGTGAACTATTCTTGTTACCCTGAGAGTAGATGAGTGCACTTAATGTCTTCGATGAATCTAATTGAACATTAACATTGAAAGTGTTTCTCTCTTAACTTTTTATAGGATGAGGTTTCCTATAAACAGGAGGAAACAGTGGTTTCCTTGCTTTAAACTAAAGTCTCTGACAATCAGAAGGCTATTCTCTCTTCTTTGTGACTTATTTTAAAAAATATGAAATCTACTTGTTGTCCAAGAGTACCTAAAACTAACTTTGTAGTGATTATTTGTATTACCTGGATTGTAATGTAACTGTTTAATGTAACCACGTAGGATTTCATACTTTCATAAAATGAACTGGTAGATTTGCAAAATAAATTGAAAAGAAAAACCTTGTTCTGCTGGAATTTTCTGTTTTACAAGTGAGGAGTCCCTGTCTCTCTAAGGTTACATAGCAGCTGCATTGAGCTCAGCAGAATGTTGTTAATCAGCCTGACAGAGGTTATTGGGATATTCAGTCATCTGAAGAACCATTCTTGCTATGACATCTTTGGAGATTTTTTTTTTTTTTGTCTCACAGTCTTCAACAGCATCTAATAATTGTTCCCAGCTGCATATACAAACAGGTACTGACCTGAAATTGTTTCAAGAAGGCCCTCAAACCTTTATTTATTTCACATTGTGTGTGTGACCTTCAACCATGAATCTGTTTTATTTTTTCACCTTTTTCATATGCTGGTAGTATTATATATTGTAAGCACCTTTCATTTTGTAATCACTCACCCCAAACTCCAAAAATCCACCTTGCTGAGAAGTCCTCTGTAGTGCCTTCCATGGGGGTGTGCAAGTGTGAATGAGAGCAGATTTCACCCAGACTGCTTTTAAGGAAGAGTCTCTGGTTGCCAGTCTCTGCACAAGGCAGATAATGCCATTACAGCTGAATATTTGGGGATTTTCCCATGAGAATCAGCTGCCTAAAGGAAGAATTATTGGACCCATACTCCTCAGGCTAGGTCAGTGCTCAGTCAGCATCTGCTTTCTGTCTCCTTGTTGTGAGAGATGCATTAATGATAACAGTTCAGTTTTTTAAAGCTCCTGTAACCTGATCCCTCATGATCCTATCCACAGTGAACAAATTCATCTGCATCCATTTAGAGCACTTTTCCATCTGGTAACAACAGAAAGTGAGCTGCATTAAGGATGATTGTACTTTAATTTTAGGTGCACGCCTTAAAACATACATTTTTTTCTTAATGTTACAGCACTTCTGTGAGTGAAGTCTCCAGCTGGAGACGCCACGGTGTCATTCAACTCAGGCAAGTTACAGCTTTATCGACTTCCCTTCAGCCAGGTCATTTCACACCAGCTGAGTCTCTTTCCTCTCCTCTTTTTTTAATTGGATAGCAGCTCATTCAGATGTCTTCAAATACTGCCAGCTTTTTTGCATGTGGAAGTGAGAATTACACCATCATTCAAAAAAAAATCGTTCTGCTAGATGCTGAAATATCAAAAAAGCCCTGAAAGCTGGGAAGTTGTTCTTTATCCCTGGTAGAACAGTACCTATTCTTTGGTCATGCCTGGCTGCCAATGAGTGCAATAACGCCAAGCAATTAGGCCTTTCATTTGCGTTAGGCTAATTAATTGTTTGCACAGTGCCCTGAATATGGAATCATTTTCCTTTTGGAAAGAATAAAAGGATTAGAATGGCTTTATCCCAAGTTGCTCTGAACGTCTTTTATTTATTTAATGGGAGAAAAATCCTCTGTTGCCCCAAACGCAGAGCACACACTCGAGCGTTACGGCTGCTCGGGGACGTCTCCATCCGTGGGGATGTGAACACATTCACAGATGTCCATCCATCTGCAGACATGCTCCAGATGGGATCTGGGGGTCCTGCTGCATGGCAATGAGCGTGCAGAGGCTGCAGGGTTTGGATGCTGCAGGGGGATGAGCATCCCTTGGATTTCAGCTGCCTGCAGCAGCACGGTCGCTGTGAGCTGTGGTGGCGCTGGGTGGGCAGAGCTCTGTGGCTGGGCACTCTCTCAAGAGGTTTGTACTGAGGGAGTCCAAGGCAAATGGAGCCTGGGCTAGGATTTCATGGAGAAGGATGCAATATTGCAGAGGCTACTGTCATCTCTTCTTTATGTTTGTCCTATTCAGTGCCTCTTTGTGCTACCATATTATTAAGTATATATTTCATGTTAAATGGTTCTACAAATGTGAAAAAAGCCAGTGGAAAGTGAAGGAAGATACTCGGCTGTAAGTGCAAGGCAGAGGCTGCCATCACACAGACTTCCACTGAAGGGGTTGGAGGTAACTGGCTGGAGTTCCTCCTGACCTCATATAAGGAGAGCTCCCTGCTCTCCTATAAGACCTGCTATGGGCCATCTG